CACCCCACCCCCACGCCCACCACCGCCACTTTTCAATGAAAAATGAGACGCAAAATCTTATTACGTTTTCTCAGGAAAAAAACGTCAACACTTGAGGAAATTACTGAACTGTCCAAACAATTCCATATGATGAATCATGAAACTATGGAGCACATCAATTGGATCCCTGTTTGGGATGCGGAAACAATGAGGCCCTATTTGGGATACAAGAATTTCACAGGAATTGTTTCATATAGACATTAGGAAAAGAACAAGCATTCCAAACAATGTAGTATAGGATATTCATCGAGACAAAATACCTTTTACAGGGCATAGGCAGCACTCCTTTTTTTGTTGGGGCAGTTCACAAGCTCGACAAACCCAATTAGTTAAATCCTGTACGACACGAGCTCCATAGCACTCTTGATGGACAGCTATTTGACATCTGAATACATAAATTTTCGAGAAGCTTTTATTAACCACTAATCATGAAAACTTACATAATATTTTTAGTCTTCAAACATCAAAGGAATTCAAGTGCAGGTGATGGATAAAAATTCAAATGAAGGCAGGAACTACCTGTTACAAATGATAATTTTGTTGTAGTCCCAATCCTCAACCCACCGACAGACAGCACAACGTTCAGTTGTCCATTTAGCATAGACTGGACTGTAAGAGTTTGCTGCAGATATTGGAAAAATTCAACAGCGTGAAGTCATATTAAAATCACCAACCACAAAGCCCATGAAAAAAAATCAAGAGTGGCATACCTTGTAATGAAAGCAACTCTTCTTTCTTAATGCCTGGGGTAGAAGACTTGAAATTTCCACCCGGAATATCATGAAGCTGCAGATAATGACAAAAAAGGAATCTTGTCAGTTTTGCATGCATGTGTGCATTAGTGTCAACTAGAGATGATACACCGTGCATTGCTGTGGGACTTGGTTGCAATTATTTCGATGAGATTTGATTGTATTAAGTATTAATATTTGGATTAATAATCTGAGAATTGAAACTAATATATTTATTATATTTGATTATTGTATAGTTGTAGAAAAAATATTGAATATGAGTAGCATGCGTGTGGCATGTTAAGGTAGATCTTTTCCCATGCACAGTGGCATGGTCAGTTGGCATAGTTGCATGTTGAGAGAATTGGAGTTAGTGGGGATCAACTAACTAGGTATATATAGCATTCACATATTATGTTGAACCACAGACGTCCAAGTTGATGAAGATCCTGAGAGCTTACCAAGTCAATTAGTGGCTCCCCAGTGCCCTTGAGTTTAATACTCATCTTCCAATTTTTCTTCCTTGAGCCAGTATGCCTCTCCCACTCATTCAGAGTCATCATCTTTTTCTTGCAAGACCTGCATTCACATAATATCCTGCCAGCAAAAACAATACTCAAATACTAATACTGGTGCAACCGTGCAATGATGCAAGCACACATAAGGAAATCAATGCAACATGAAGACCGCTAGCAACTGTGTGATGGTTTTTATTGCTTCTGGCCCCTAAACATCATATGAATTCCCATCACAAAAGTGACCAATCCTAGGGGTGACTACGGTAAGAACTAAAGCGACCTAAAAGTCACTTGCTTATGCACCAAGTGAAGGTTAAAGGACCAATTGCAAGTATACAGTAGCCACTTCGATTCGGTAACATATGTTTGTGCACTTGTACTTTAGCTCTCAGGTCAATTTTTCTAGCCCAGAAAATGAACCAAAAGAGGAAAGTTGCTGCTCCACGAAAAGAAAAGATGGCATGTTTAATAATTTTAGTATTTCTTTCTGAACAGTTGACTTAATACAAAAAAATATAGTACTCCTACTTAAAATAATAAAACATTAGATTCAGATAGAGTATTGATGCAAATTTAAAGAAACATGTAATCTGAAGATTCAGTAGAAGATATGTCAAATGCTTACATGTGCTTTTCTGGCAAGTACAATGCTTCCATCCCAGAGCAGCACACAGGTATGGATTCAGGCAACTTTTCCTTTGAAGTGCTGGCAAATCTATGCTGGGACATGTTAGAAACTGGCATTTTTTATTTATTATAACAGCCAACAGACATCCATAGGTTTGAGAAAGAAATGAATAACTCACTCTGAACTATTGGAGGTGCTCGTTTGTTCAACTTTCATTACTCTCTTGCGTTTAGACTTACAATCAGGACAGAAATACTCGGTATTTTCTAAATCCTGCAAAATAATGTGTAGTCAGTGAAGCCTATCCCTGGAAGCATTGCATATTACATATATATAACAAACATCATGACATTAAAATCTCAACACCAAACAACATATTACATATATATAACAAACATCATGACATTAAAATCTCAACACCAAACAAAGGTGAACAAACAACCTCCAGGTCACTGCATGTCCGGTCGCATTCTACATGAACCCAAATCTGGCACTCATCACAGCATACCTGCCAAGAAACGGATTGCAGGTCAATGCCTACAAAAATCAAGAGAAGATAATCTATATACCATCACCAAAGCGGTTTCAAGGCTTACCCAGTTTCCGCCATCTGTGTGATGCCAAATTTTCTTGCATATGCCACAGTATTGCTTTGACTGCAATAGCTGCAGAAATAATAGTATTTACCCATGTAAGGCACTAAATAGAAATGAATCGAGTTACTAGAACATATGAAGCACCTTCGTTCAGTCACATGCCAGAGACATACATACCTTTTCACAGTGCCTACAAAGTAACTGCTCTGTTTCTTGCTTCTTTTTCTTTGAAATCTTGGATGGAAGACGATTACCGCAGCTATCGCAACATGCTGCTAATTTAACGACAACCTGCAACACAGTAAATAAATTAGATAGCAGCCTAGCCGAGGAACTGTAATAAATGAGGCAGCTACAAGCTCAGCTATTACAACTCCACACGTCCAATTACCTGAGAATGAGATTGACACTCCTGCTCGTTATTAGAACCAGTCACTTCACGTGCGCCATCGGTGACAGACTGCTCATTCACAGACTTGTCCAGAGAGCAGACCCCGTCCATTTGGAGCTCAAAAAAGCCGCGCTCGGCAAGGAAAGCCTCCTCAATTGCTGCACGGAATTTGCTTGGCTTGAGCTTAAGCTTATGGAGAGATTGTCCCTGGAACCTATCTAGGTACTCCACAAAGGGAAAGATCATCCCTTGCTTGACCCATCCATAGTCCTACAAATGAAGACGGTAATGTGAGCCCACGGAAAGAGAAACAGAAAGGAACCGTTTGGTTCATAAACCAACCAATTCAACCAGGAAAAGAGAACTGCAGCGCTTATCCAGGAAACTGTAATAAATAAATTACCCTGTTTTGGCCGCCGGCAGAGTAACCGAAGAACATGACGCAGAGCGCGCCGGGGACGCAAGAGTTGAGCACAACCTCCGGGGCGTGCTGCAGCGGGTTGATCACTAACGCCGGCCACGCGGGGCTCTTCTTCCCCGACCTTGCCCACACCACGTCCCCGAGCACAAAATCCTCTGGCCAGTAGAAATCCTCTCTCCTGACCTCGGCCTCCTGCTTTGGCTTGCACTCCACCACCGGGGACCTCCCCTCCAGCCCGACATTTCCAGTACCAGCATTGCTCGTGGACGGGACCACAGCGCCCACCACGGGCGTCTTCTCCGGCGCGCATTTCTCACCAGCATTGCTCACGGAAGTGACAACGCTTCCACTGAAACAGCCCGAACTGCCGCTCCTGCTGATGTTCCGGCATGCCCGGTACAGCTCCTCCTCCGTCTGCGCGGGCTCGCCGGTCCACACCTCGGTCTGCACGGCCCCAAAGGCGGAGCCTTTCGGGCCGACGGCGCGCACCTCCACCTCGTACACCTGGCCGTCCCTGTCCTCGACCTTGGGCGGCGCGGGGGCCTTGCAGGCCTTCTTGGCGGGCGGCGGCAGGAGGACGGCCGAGTCCCTGAACCGCGAGGGCAGGACGCGCTCCCGGCGGCGCTTGGCGGGCGGCATGCCCTCGGCGGCGGCGGCGGGGGGCTCCAGCTCGTACGGGACGGCGGCGGTGCAGCGCTTGGGCGGGATGCGGGAGGCGAGCATGGCACTGGCGCCGGCGGCGGCTAGGGCATGGGGGTGGGGACGCGCGACGCCCTGGAACCCCGAATCGGGGCGGCGGATTTGGGTCCTTAGGGTTCCGGCGGCGCCGAGGAGTGGGGATTTAAGGTCGGTCGGGGGAGGGGGGTTGTTCGGTCGGCTCCGAGATGGGGATGGGATTCGAGGCGGAGGCGGAGGCGGATAGGGACGATGCGCGCCGACGCGGAGCCGAAAATTTCGGGTTCCCTCCGTCCGGGCGCCCGAGGGATTGGGGTGGGGTGGGGTGGGACGTGCGGGTTGCGTTTTGAAGTTTTTGGAACAAGTTGTCTGTCGGGGTCGGAACCAGTGCTCCAGTAGGAAGAGGCGAGGCGAAGGGGAGTGAGAGGTGGGGAAGACGACCCAACGCCGCGAGATGGTCGGGCGGGGGCGAACAGAGTTTTCGCGCGGATCTGGATGGGTCCTGGGCCGCTGGCTGGTGCCGTGTGGCGGGCGCTGACGTGAGAATCGGTTCCTCGGCCATTGGATTCTGGCTGGGGCCCTTCTGTTGCTCGGACCGTGGGGGTGGGGGCTGTCCTTCTCTGTGCCGGACCCGGAAGGGAACTCCCGATCGCCGCCGCCTCTGCTTCGCTCCGACCTGACGCCGTGGCCATACTCCGAAGCCGGTGATCGGACCGTAGATGACGTGGCCATGGGTCTCCCAGACGGGCTGCTCGCCGACGTCCTGTCCTTGGTGCGCCGTTGTCGAAATGATCGATTTCAGTACTAGTGCCAAGCCCTCGCCCCTCCCCCCTTCCCGCCCCCGCCGAGCGCCACTCCGGCGCCGGCGTCCACCGCGCCCAGCGCTCACGCCGTGGGTCACTCCGACCGCAGCGGCCACCTCCCCTCTCCTCCCTCTGTGTCTCGCGCTCACGCCGCTCCCGCGCCATGGCCTCGAGCCCGATATCTGTGACCTCCACCTTCAGGCCACCTGGTGAGCGACCGGTGGTCTCGGGGTTGGGGATCTCCTCGGAGTCGGAGGGCTCGGAGGTCCGCGGACCGCGGGCGGAGGCGGAGATGCAGCCTGTTCCCGTGCCGCCTTCGGCGCCATGGGTGCAGCCGCCCCCCTCAAAGAAGGAGCTTTGGAGGAAACGCCATGCCATGGGTGAGCGGAGCAGAGATCCGGTACATGCGTCGGGTGATACGTCTCCAACGTATCAATAATTTTTGATTGCTCCATGCTATATTATCTACTGTTTTGAATGTTTATGGGCTTTATTATACACTTTTATATCATTTTTGGGACTAACCTATTAACCCAGAGCCCAGTGCCAGTTTCTGTTTTTACCCTGTTTTAGGGTTTCGAAGAAAAGAAAAATCAAACGGAGTCCAATTGACCTGAAACTTCACGGAACTCATTTTTGGAAGGAAAGAAGCCCAGAAGACTTGGAGTGCACGTCGGGGGATCTGCGAGGAGGTCACGAGGCAGGGGGCGCGCCCACCCCCCTAGGCGCGCCCTCCACGCTCGTGAGCCCCTCGTGGCCCCCCTGACGTACTTCTTCCGCCTATATATCTCCATATACCCTAAAAACATCCATGAGGAGATTAGATCGGGAGTTCCGCCACCAGAAGTCTCCGTAGCCATCGAAAGCCAATATAGACCCGTTCCGGCACCATGCCGGAGGGGGCAATCCTTCCCCGGTGGTCATCTTCATCATCCCGGTGCTCTCCATGACGAGGAGGAAGTAGTTCTTCCTCGGGGCTGAGGGTATGTATCAGTAGCTATGTGTTTGATCTCTCTCTCTCTCTCTCTCGTGTTCTTGATTTGGCACGATCTTGATGTATCGCGAGCTTTGCTATTATAGTTGGATCTTATGTTTCTCCTCCCCCTCTACTCTCTTGTAATGAATTGAGTTTCCCCTTTGGAGTTATCTTATCGGATTGAGTCTTTAAAGATTTGAGAACACTTGATGTATGTCTTGCCGTGGATATCTGTGGTGACAATGGGATATCGCGTGATTCACTTGATGTATGTTTTGGTGATCAACTTGCGGGTTCCGCCCATGAACCTATGCATAGGGGTTGGCACACGTTTTCGTCGTGATTCTCCGGTATAACTTTGGGGCACTCTTTGAGGTCCTTTGTGTTGGTTGAATGGATGAATCTGAGATTGTGTGATGCATATCGTATAATTATACCCACGGATACTTGAGGTGACATTGGAGTATCTAGGTGACATTAGGGTTTTGGTTGATTTGTGTCTTAAGGTGTTATTCTAGTACAAACTCTAGGGCTGTTTGTGACACTTATAGGAATAGCCCAACGGATTGATTGGAAAGAATAACTTTGAGGTGGTTTCGTACCCTACCATAATTTCTTCGTTCGCTCTCCGCTATTAGTGACTTTGGAGTGACTCTTTGTTGCATGTTGAGGGATAGTTTTATGATCCAATTATGTTAGTATTGTTGAGGGAACTTACACTAGTAAAAGTATGAACCCTAGGCCTTGTTTCCACACATTGCAATACCGTTTACGCTCACTTTTATCATTCGTTACCTTGCTGCTTTTATAATTTCAGACTACAAATACCTTTATCTACTATCCATATACCACTTGTTTCACCATCTCTTTGCCGAACTAGTGCACCTATATAATTTACCATTGTATTGGGTGTGTTGGGGACACAAGAGACTCTTTGTTATTTGGTTGCAGGGTTGCTTGAGAGAGACCATCTTCATCCTACGCCTCATACGGATTGATAAACCTTAGGTCATCCACTTGAGGGAAATTTGCTACTGTCCTACAAACCTCTGCACTTGGAGGCCCAACAATGTCTACAAGAAGAAGGTTGTGTAGTAGACATCAAGCTCTTTTCTGGCGCCGTTGCCGGGGAGGTTAGCGCTTGAAGGTATATCTTTAGATCTTGCAGTCGAGTCTTTTAGTTTCTTATTTTATCACTAGTTTAGTTTATAAAAGAAAACTACAAAAAAATGGAATTGAGTTTGTCTCATACGCTTCATCTTTTTAATATCTTCGTGAGTATGATGGAAAGGATAATTGTGCTCAAGTGCTAGAAGAAGAAATCTATAAAATGTTTGGCACTAAATCTTTGAATGATGAGCATGATTGCAATGTTGTTAGTACGAATTCTCTGAATATCCATGATGCTAATGATGATTGCACTAGTTATGATGAAAATGCCTCCTATAAACATGTCACTTTTGTGGAGTAGATTGGGTTTACAAGTACACACCAAATAGGGAAGATGGATATTGTAAGAGGCATAAGTACTTAGAAACCAAATTGTTGCAAGAAGAGCTAGATGAATGTGCTGAAAAATTATCTTTTCTTAGCCCTACTTGTGAACTTTGCAATGAACGTGGTCATTTTAGTACCCAATGCAAATTGTTTCATGAGCGTATCGTGTCCAAAAATTGTGATGACTTGATTTCTCTTGCACATCATAATGAACTTAGTTTGCTCTTGGGTTATGAAGAAATTAAACGTAGAACTAAGGATATTCCAAAATTTGCCCTTGATAAAATCCTTCATTTTGATCTAGAGGAAATTTATATATATTGCGCGGTGAATTGTATTGAAAATCCTTATATTGCCAATTACATAAAAAAACAAATAGAAGATGAAGAGAATACTAATGAAAGGGAGACGACTTCCCAATATCCTCCTATTATTCCTTATGATGAATCAGGTAACGAGGAGGAGCTTTCTATCCAACCAATCTCATTAATAAGGAGCTCTAAAAAGAGGATTGAACCCACACATGATGTGGTGAAGAAGAATAAAAGAAAAAGGAAGAGAGGTAAAAAGGTATCTCTCCCAAATAAAGTTGCTCCTATTATTGCTGTGCCTCATGAAAATGAAGATGATACACTTGATGATGATCTCGTTATGCCTATTGCTTGTTGTGATGATTATGATTGGGAAGATAATGATACTTTTTATGATCTTGAAAATCTTTTTGGTACTTGCTTGGAAGAATATAATAATTGCTATACTATCGGTGATATCTATACTATTAATGATGAGAGTGATTATGCTTATAATATGAAAAAACCCAAGTTTGGGAAAGCTATGTTTGATGAGGATGACATATTTAAGAATATATTTGCTGCAATTAATGTTTGTCCCAAGTTTGGGTAAGCTATGATTAATGAAGATGATATTTTTAGTCTCCCAAGTTTTGATATGCAAGTTTATACTGATAGCATGCCTCCTACTTATGATGATTATTGTGATGATACTTATGCTATAAAAAGTAGTGATTATATTTATAAAACTTGTCATTGTTATGATTACCCCTTCTCTGAACATTACTCTTTTAATGTGGAAACAATTTATAGTATTTAAGTTTCCTATGATACTCCCACTATTCCGAATAAGAAGAATTTTGCTTATGTGGAAAGTAATAAATTTTCTATGCTTGTAGATCATGAAAAGAATGCTTTAGGTACTGGTTATATTGTTAAATTCATTCATGATGCTACTGAAAATTATTATGAGGGAGGAATATATGCTTGTAGGAATTTCAATAATATCAAGTTTCCTCTCTATGTGCTTAAAGTTTTGAAGTTATACTTGTTTTGCCTTTCTATGCTAGTTGATTATTGCTCTCATAAGTTATTTGCTCACAAAATCCCTATGCATAGGAAGTATGTTAGACTTAAATGTGCTAGTCATATTCTTCATGATGCTCTCTTTATGTTTCAATTCTTATCTTTTATGTGAGCATCATTGAAATCATCATGCCTAGTTAGGGGCGTTAAACGATAGCGTTTGTTGGGAGGCAACCCAATTTTATTTTTATCCCTTGCTTTTTGTTCCTGTTTAGTAATAAATAATTCATGTAGCCTATGCTTAGATGTGGTTTTATTCTTTTAATTAGTGTTTGTGCCAAGTAGAACCTTTGGGAAGACTTGGGGAGAGTCTTGTTGATCATGCTGTCAAAAACAGAAACTTTAGCGCTCACGAGAATTGCTGCCATTTTTATTTGAAGAGTGCTATTTAGTTAA